GTCCATCGATGGGAGGTTGGCTTCCATGATGGTCTGGGCTGTGCACACCACCTTCTGCAGTTTCTTACGGTTCTGGTAGTTGCCGTACCAGGTCATTATGCAACCAGACAGTATGCTTTCCGTGGCGTATCTATAAAAGTTGGTGAGGGTCCTTACAAACATGCCAAATTTGCTAAGCTGCCTGAGGAAGAAGGGGTGTTGTTGCGCTGGTTAGGCAACAGCTGGAGTTCTGGTCACCTTACTGTAGGAATGATGTGATTGCACTTGAGAGGTACGGGGAAGTTCACCAGGATGTTGCCTGGGATGGAGCAACTGAGCTATAAGGAGACACTAGATTGGCTTGCACTATTTTCTTCAGTGCAGAGAAGGCTGAGGGGAGACATGATTGAGGCGTATACAATTATGAAGGGTATGAATAGGGACAGCTGTTCCTCCTGTTTGAGAGGTCAATAATGAGGCATAGTTTTAGGGTAAAGAGCAGGAGATTCAGAGGGGATTTGAGAAAAAGCTTTTTCACTCAGAGGGTGGTGGGAATCTGAAATGCAATGCCTGGGATGGTAGTGGAGGCTGGAAACCTTACAACATTTAAAAAAAAATTTGAAATAACATTACATTTTAGGGTATGGGAAAGTGTAAAAAATTGGGATTAGAAAGCCTTTAGTGGTAGTTATTGTCAATGCAGACTTGATGGGCTGAAGACCCATTTCTGCCCTGTATGACTCTATGACATACTGTACTCTTTGCTGATGAATCAGTACTCCTCCATGTTGAACACTTGGAGGAAGCACTGAGGGTGGCAAGGTGAAAAATGCATTCTGGGTGGTGGATTTCAATATCCACCACCACCAACAGTGGCTCGGCAGCAGCAATACTGATCAAGCTGATTGGGTCCTAAAGGACATTGCTTCTGGAGGCGGTGAAGAAACCAACAAGAGCAAGAAACATACTTGAACTCATGCTTACTATTCTACTGGCTGCTAATTCATGACAGTATCAGTAAGAATGACCACTGCACAGTCCTTATGGAGACAAAGTCCTGCCTACATATTGTGAACACCCTCCATCCTGTTGTGTGGCATTATCATCATGCTAAAAGGAACAGACTTCGAAGAGATCTATCAACTCAAAATTGTGCATCCATGAGGCAATGTGGGTCATTCAACAGCAGCAGAACTCCAACACAATCTGCAATCTATGGCCTGGAATATCCCCCATCAAGCCAGGGGATCAACCATGGCTCTTTGGAGAGTCCAGGGGGGCATGCTAGGAAATGCACCAGGCATACATAAAAATGAAAACGGAAAGATCTGCTGATGCTGTAAATCGGGAGCAAAACATCAGTTCTGAGGAAGGGTCACCGGACCCGAAACATTAACTTTGTTTTTTCCCTCACAGATGCTGCCAGACCTGCTGAGCTTTTCCATACATAAAAAATGAAGTGAAATTGTGGTGAAGCCACCAAACAGGGCTACTTTTAAGGTCTCAAATTTTCCACATTCAGTTGTGATTAAATATGTCACTGGAGTAGGAGGAGGCTCCACAAATATTCCCATCCTCGATGATGAAAAAGACCAACACATCAGTGTACAAGGTAAGGCCTAAGCATTCACGTCAGTCTTCAGCCAAAAGTATCAAGTGAACGAAAAATCTCGACCTCCTCCAGTGGTCCCCAGTGGTCACAGATAACAGTCTTCAGCCAATTCAATTATCTCCATGTGATATCAAGAAATGGTTGGAGGGACTGGCTGCTGCAAACAGTAGTGAAGACTTGTGCTCCAGAACTTGCTGCTTCCCAAGCCAAACTAATACAATTACAATACTGATATCTACCCAATAACATGTAAAATTGACCAGGTATGTGCAAAAAAAAGGCAAATTGCAGCCACATCAGTCTAATTTTGATCATCAGCAAAGTACTGCAAGGTGTCATCAACAACAAAAGAAATTGCTGGAAAAACTCATCAGGTCTGACAACATTTGTGGACAGAAAAGAGAGTTAACGTTTCAGGTCCAGTGACCTTTCTTCAGCCTGTTCTAAAGAAATTTCACTGGACATGAAACATTAACTCTGCTTTCTATCCACAGATGCTGCCAGACCTTACAAGTTTTTCCAACAATTTCTGTTTTTGTTTCTGATTTCCAGTATTGGCAGTTCTTCAGTTTGTTTTTGAAGGCGTTTTTGATTTGATCTGATTCGATTTGATTTATTGTCACATGTACATAAGTACAGTGAAAAGCTCTGTTTACAAGCAGTACAGGCAGTCATAGTAATCAAGAACATACAGATCCGGTGTGAAAAAAAACTTGACAGAATGAGGCATACAGGTTACTTCACTCAAGCAGACACAAAAACAGAAATTGCTGGAAAAGCTCAGCAGGTCTGGCAGCATCTGTGGAGAGAAATCAGAGTTAACATTTCAGGTCCAGTGACCCTTCCTCAGACCCTGCTCAGTAAAACCTTGCTCAGTGATGCCCGGTTTGGGTTCTGCCAGGACCACTCAGCTCCTGACCTCGTTCCGGCCTTGGTTCAAACATAGACAAAACAGCTGAATTCCAGAGGTGAGGTGAGAGTGACAGTCCTTGACATCAAGGGCACATTCAACCGAGTATGGCACCAAGGAGCCCTAGCAAAACTGGAATCATGGGAAATTAGGGGCAAACTCGCGCTGGTTGGAGTCATATGTGGTACACATGAAGATGGCTGTGGTTGTTGAGGTCAGTCATCTCAGCTCCAAGCCGTCTCTGCAGGAGCTCCTCAGGGCCTAACAATCTTCAGCAATAACTTTCCCTCCATCATAAGGTCAGAAGTGAGAATATTTGCCAATGTTTACACAGTGCTTAGCACCATTCGCGACTCCTGAGGTACTGAGAGAGAAAGTGGGAATATGACATTGAGAAAGTGAATCAGTCATTATCATATTGAGTGGTAAAGCATGCTCAAAGGGCTGAAGGGCCAACACTGGACCAAGCTTTTATATGTTTATTTCTTTGAAACTTGTAAGCCATTTAGTTGTGAAAGTGATTTTTTTCCTTCTAATATTTTAGCCTAAGAGACTAAATTACTTAGCATTTAATACTAAATATTCTCATAGAATCCCTACAATGTGGAAACAGGCCCTTCGTCCCAACAAGTCCACACTGGCACACAGAGCATCCCAACCAGACCCGTTCCCCTAATCTAGTCATCCCTGAACACTATGGACAATTTAGCATGGCCAATCCACCTAGCCCGCACATCTTTGCATTGTGAGAGGAAACCAGAGCACCCGAAGGAAATCCCACCCAGACAGTCACCAGTGAGCGGAATCGAACCCAGGTCCTTGGCGATGTGAGGCAGCGGTGCTAACCACTGAGTCACTGCGTCGCCCACTACTTCATTAATTTTTTTTTTTAATGTTTAAAACTTCTTCACGATTGCTACTTTCCACAACATTGGCATCATGAACAAATCTCAAATTATTTTATTCCAAACTGAAAATTGTGATCTAAATTTAAATTGTAAGCAATAGTGGTCTCCCTCTGATTCCCATCTTCTGTGGCTCTCCGGAGCTATCCAGAAACCAATTAGTTATCCGTTCTGCTATTAGTCCTGACTTCTCAAGCTCTGATCTTATTCAGTAAGCAATTATGTGACCCCTCATGCCAGAATGCCTCTGGAAATATTATCTTCACTTTGCTTTTTCTGTCTCCACTTAAAAATGCATTTAGGTAAGTCAAACATAACCCTTTTGAAATCTGTGTTGATTATTCATTATCATAGTTTTAATTTTGACCTGGATTTTTCTTTCTTCTTTAGTAGGGATTCCACTATTTTCCTAACACCAACATTAAATTGTCTGATCTTCAGTTCCTTGGGCAAGGTCTATTTTTCATTTAAATGTAGGTATTATTTTAGCTATCTAATAATATTACATCTTTCTTGCATGAATTTTTAAGTAACTATAATACTCCCTCTGCTACATCTTCTTTCAATGCTCTGCCAATTGATCTGTCAGTAGGTTCTGATGAAAAGTAATTAAATATAATTACTACTTCAGTAAGTCTATAGTTTTATCCTGACCATTCTTTGGTCCACCATTTCTTCCTATTTCAACCTCAACTTTCCCTTTTGTTTATCTACCTCAAAGTATTTTAAAAATTTAATTCATGTGTCTTGACAATTTAATATTGGAATTCTTCTGTGCCTTTTTTTAAACTCCTTTTGCATTACCCTTTGGTCTCAAAAATACTTAATTGTTCTGTTTTTTTGTAGCAGAATTTTTTATTTACCAGGATCTGTTTAAAATTGTGTTACATGTTTCCCATTACCCCTTACCACCACTGCTTACCAATATCATTGTTGTTGTCTGTTTCATTTTTTCAAGTTCTATTGTCAATCCCTCAAAAGCAGGTCTTCTCCAAGCTATTAATTGGATCTTCATCAGAACTTATTTCCTCCTTAAATATTATGTTAAACAGTATTACTTGATATTCCTCCACTTTTATCTCTCTTATTGGCTCTTGTTCATTTCTCATTACATGGAGGATTAGAAAAGAATTCTCTACATTTTGTATGAACTCCATTCCCTTATCCCTGTTATATCTCTTTTCTAGCCTTTGGTTCATCTAGTTCCCATTCAATCATTCTGGTAGTCATGTGATATGATGCTAACAAAGCTGTTGACTGCTCGCAACAATTAATCAGTACACAACAGGCTCAGAAATTACTCAACTCCATCTCAGTGACAGACAGCTTCAGGAACCATAGGCCAACATAAATCACTTGTTCTTCTCAAAGTTATTTAACACTAACACATGCACCATCGCTTATGTGGAGGCCCAACACATTGGATAGATCAACAAATTTAGGTACAGTCATTTTCAAAAAACTCTGCTTGCAATGCAACCAGAATTTACAACAATCGATATATTTCACACATTTGCCAGTGTTTATGTGAAGCTAAAAAGATCAAGTGCTCAAACATTGTAATGGATTATTATTTTCAAACATTAACACTGGCCTGTCACTAACATGTTCAAGCCAAAGTTCTAGCTTAGACTCTGAAGCAGTACCTTTAACCTGGAAATGTAAACACATTTTCAAATCACGCTGAAAAAAGTACAGACAGAAAGCAAATAAATGACATTGTTGCAAATCTGAAACAAGAACAGAAATTGCTGGAAAATTTTAAACAGTTTAACAAGTATCTGTAGAGAACACAGTAAAACTAACAGTTGAGTTTTCAATTATGGGGTTTCATAATAATCCAGCAAATGTTCCACTTTGTCACAATCAGCACATTAACTTATCTGTTAGGAACCCAGAAACTGATAGATGGAAAAATAAGCGTTCATCTGGTTTGCTTTCTACCACTTTGATGGGATGTTGCATCGATAATGGAATAGTTGGCTAATCATAACAATTAATCTCAAAAAAATATTTTAGTTAACACAGATGTGATAAGAAAGCCCCAGTGGTTTTGTAAACATAGGTCCAATGTTACCTGTCCTTCAGTTGTAATGCAATGACTTACATCACTCATATATCAAGCAGCAGCATGATTACGATGACACTGATTCATGTGCAGATGTGCAGAACCGAAAGACATCAATAAAGATTTGCAAAAAAGCAGATTGAATTTTATTCAGAAGTGCATCTGTTTCCTTTTTGTCTTTTCAAATAAACTGTGTTCACATCACTTTCACACCTACTTCAGTTTCAACTGCACCTTTAGTCAAAACTGGTGAGTGCTGATGGATGGCTTCTGATCTTCAGGTACAAAGATGGATTGGAGAAGTCTGAATTGTTTTCCTTGAAGAGAAGGAGATTTCATAAAAGTATTCAAAACTAAGGGGTCTAAGACAGTGTGGGTAAGGGAAAAATGCTTCCATTGATAGAGGGATTGGAAACAAGAGGGCACAGATTTAGGGAAATTGGCAAAAGATGCAATGGTGGCAAGAAGAAAAGCCTTTCCATGTAGCTTGTGGTTAGGACCGAGAATGCAATACTCAACAGTGTGGAGGAGACAGATTTAATCAGGACAGTCAAATGGGACTTGTTATCTGCAGAAGAAAAATGTGCAGAACAATGGGGAGAAGGCAGGGGAGTGAATGAGTTAAACTGCCTCTATGGTGGACTGGTGCAGCCGTAATGAGTCAAATAGTTTTCCTCTGAGCAGTAACAATTCTACAATTCTCTGACAGGCTAGGCTGGACGAGATTTCCTTCTGTAAATAATATCTCCGACCAGATGTGTTTTTATAGTAGTCTGGTAAGTTAGCTTCTTTGTTGCTTGGTAATCACAGATCTGACAGAATCTAACACAGACATACATTCCTTTTCTCGTTGCACAGCAGCAATGAGTTGATGTAAAGAAATTAATTATTATTGATGAATGCTTCTGATTATTCTGGGAGTGCTCAGATGGCCACGTGTATGCATTTGATGGCACTCGACATCTCTGGGAAGAAATGCACAGATGCAAATGCTTGCTTAGTCTGGCGATTATCATCACCACCACCAGAAAAATTCCTGGCAAATTATCTGCCATTATGCATTTATATCCAGATAACTGCAAGACCCTTGGCATATTTCTAGTTGTTTATTACGGATTTACCTCCCTGGAGGAGGCACCGTGGGCGGAAAGGCACAAAACATGCTCTGGGTAAGGGACTTCAAGAGTGGCTCAGCAGCACCACTACTTACCAAGGTGGTTGTAGGAGTGTTATCCCCTGACAGGTGACAAAGACTCAGGAGGCAGGTAGGATTCAGGCAAATGGCAGACTTTGTTCTTATTCAAGCAACAACCAGTTTTAGCAGGAAGAGGGTCAAAGATATTCCCCAAATCTGACCTCGCCATGAAAACCCAGTCGTTCTCTTAATCTATGGCTCAAATCGGAAGAGATATCAATGGCATACTCTGATTTTTTTACACTGAAATATGCACGGTGGCTCAGTGGTTAGCACTGCTGCCTCATAGCGCCAGGGACCCGGGTTCAATTCCGCCCTCAGGTGACTATGTGGAGTTTGCACGTTCTCCTGGTGTCTGTGTGGGTTTCCTCCCATAGTCCAAAGATGTGCATGCTAGGTGGATTGGCCGTGCTAAATTGCCTGTAGTGTTCAGGGATGTGTAGATTAGGTGGATTATAGTGGGGTGGGTCTGGGCCTGGGTGAGATACTTTGAGGTTCAGTGTGGACTTGTTGGGCTAAAGGGCCTGTTTCCACACTGTAGGGATTCTATGATTTTTATACATTTTGTATTAGAATAATTACATACAACATGGTTGTTCCCCATTATTCCACACACCCAATCCTGTGAAACACCTAATCAATGATGGGCATTCCTATGGACAGCCCCGGGTTCCCATGATCTCATGGTGCTTAACACACATTTTAATCTCCAGACTTTAGGATCTTTCTATGCATCCTATTAATTCGCATTCGAAAGCTACTGGTTAAATGCCTTTGGGTCTGTCCCAGATTTGCTTATGTCTAAGGGCTGCTTGAATTCTGTTATTCATTGTATTCCATGTGCTATCTCTATCAAACTTTGTTATTTTACTAATTAATAACCAAAAGAACTGCGGATGCTGTAAATCAAGAACAAAAGAAAGTTGCTGGAAAAGCTCAGCAGGTCTGGCAGCATCTGTGAAGGAGAAAACAGAGTTAACGTTTCAGGTCCGGTTTCGGGTTTGTGTCCTTCCTCCATTCTGAGAAAGGGTCACTGGACCCGAAACGTTAACTCTGTTTTCTCCTTCACAGATGCTGCCAGACCTGCTGAGCTCTTCCAGCAACTTTGTTTTTGTTTTTGTTATTTTACTTATTGTTTCCACTGTCCCAATTATATATGTAAAAAATACAAGACAGTTGGTTTTAACTAATTGCTATAAGATTCATAGCATTAATTTCCCATTATAAAGTTATACTTTTAAACTAATAAATTGCAAACATTATATTTCGTTCAGGATGTGCCAGGCTTTTTTTAGGGATAAGGAAAGCATTTCCTGAGAGTAATTAACTTTCATATCTATGTTTAAATATTTTTCCCCTAATGCTTCTATCATACTTTGGTTTTATCTATGTATCTATAATTATGTTGAAATCTATCTCTACAATTATCTGAAGAATCTTTAACTATAATCTATTTCTTAATATTGTGCATAACTTCAAAGAAACAACTGGTTACTACAAAATAACTTTAGCTGTTGTTTTCATAGCTGCTGAATGAGTTAGGTTGACTGGTTCATGGACTGAGATTTACACCCCTTGTTCTATCTGGCGCTGTTCACCAATGGGACAACATGTTTTCATTAATCAGGCTGGAATCAATCATTTGTCATATTTTAATGAGCTTGTGTCTATCATAGATTCATAGAATCCCTACAGTGTGGAAACAGACCATTTGACCCAACAAGTCCACACCGACCCGCAGAGCATCCCACCTAGGCCCTATAAGCCACCTAATCTACACATTCCTGAACATTTTGGGCAATTTAGCACGGGCAATCCACCTAGCCTGCACATCTTTGGACAATGCAAGGAAACCCATGCAGATGTGGGGAGAATGTGCAAACTCCACACAGATAGTCCCCCAAGGGTGGAATCAAACCCGGGTCCCTGGTGCTGTAGGCAGCAGTGCTGACCACTGAGCCAGCGTGCCACCCAATCTTTAGATACCCTCTTATCAAACAGTCTCAATGATTGCTTGTAGGGCCTCCCATTCACCTTGGAGTAGCCTGGTTCAAAGGTACAATTATGTTTCACTCAAATGTTGGAGCAGGCTGTTTAAATCTATTTAACCCTTGTCGGCCATTTTGTGTCTTTCAAACAGGGGCTGCCCTTACAAATTCCCCCTTTGCCCCTAGGCCAGATTATGTTTGTAGGGACCTACAATCTTTACCTACCATCCCACCAGCATCCACATCCAGAAGATCAACAGATGCCATTTCTGCCACCTCCAGTAAGATGCAACCACCAGACACATATTCGCCTCCCCTCCCTTGTCTGCGTTCCACAGGGACCGCTCCCTCTGGGACAACCTGGTCCACACTTCCTTCAACCCCAACACCCACCCCACAGCCCTACGGTACCTTCCCCTGTAACCGGTGAAGGTGCAACACCTGCCCATTTACCTCCTCCCTCCCCAGTATCCAAGGACCCAAACATACCTTCCAGCTGAAGCAACACTTCACCTGCACTTCCCAGAATATAGTCTACTGCATTCCCTGCTCACAATGTGGTCTCCTCTACATTGGGGAAATGAAGTGTAGACTGGGTGACCTACCTGAACTACCTGTTGCTTGCCACTTTAACGCACCACCCTGTTCCCTGGCCAACACCTCTGTCTCTGGCTTGCTGAGGGGAATGAATAGGATGGATACTCGATATCTTTTTCCTTGAGTGGAAATGTCAAATCCACTAAGATCATCACCAAGATACCATTCCAAGATGGCAGTGGAGTAGACACTACAGCCGGAGCTTGTCCACTCTGTCGGTTACTTTTCATTTTTTTTCTCTCTAATTTTTTTCCCCTTCCTTTCTTTTTCTTCAGCCCAGTACTGAAGCAGGGACAGCAGCCAGCAGGCCAGGAGCAAAGCAGGGATGGCCAAGAGGCCCAGAGTGAAGGTGGCTACTGGTTGGGAACTGGTGGAGCCTGGTCAGACCAAATAGAAGCCCTGAGAGAAAAAATGTAATGTCCTTTTTTAAAAAATATTTATTTCTTATTTTCCTAACATTTGGACATTTGCATCCCTCCCTGAAACCATGCCGTGATACTTTTCTGTCTCAATACCAATTCAGCTAGGTCTGAGGCATTAAAGGGATGGGCCACAGGTGTATCACTGCCTGAGAGTGTATCAGGATGTGTGTGCAGACCCAGCAACTGACATTAATTCTTTTAGTATAAGCATATGACATGTATAAAAATTTGTTGGCATTAAGGTGCCATCTTGCCACTTGCCTGTCAGCATCTGATGGGATCAAAATTAAGAGGACCCCACAGAGGATTAATGTTTTCATGCTTATGCTAGTATCAGTAATATTTTTAATTATGGTTTCCACTGCGCAACCATGCCACATACATTTTCATGCGACCTTAATCTATTCTGGTTGCCGTCCTGGGGTCGACGATCCTGTTCCTGCTGCTGGTAGGTGATCACATGGTGAGGGCCTTTTAAAACTGGCAAGTTGGAGAGATAAGGGAGAGAGAGTGAGAGAGAGAGAGAGAGACAGAAAGACAGAGAGAGGTAGAGAGAGAAAGAAAAAGAATACCAGACAAGCAGGTTGGACTCTTATACTATTAACCCCTGCATACCCTTAGCTGGGTAGGATGTCTCCATTTAGTAATTCCATTTTCATTGATAAGTGCGCTCCTGTTAGCTATTAATATTACTCCATTAGGTCTGTCCCATCGGAGAAACAAGGTCCCCTTGCTTGGGATTATTTTCACCAGGACCTTTGATACTGGGGCTGGCATTTCTGTTTGTCCTGGGCATCCCTCAGACTCCCAGTCCTTAACAAGCAGCTGGTCTTGTGCCTGTCCATTAAGTATGTGTACATGCTTACAGAGGGATTTCATGTAATCTGACTTATCCCTCGCTGTTAGTCTGTCCTGCTCCCTCCGTGATTAGGTCCTGGGGAAGTATCATTGCCTGTCCCTCTGGGCCATCAGAATGGCTGGTAGGGACAGGGTCAATTTAATGCCTTCTCCTATCATTGCTTTGGTCAGAGCATTTTTCAGCATTCTATTCATTCTCTCTACCATACCCGAGCTCTGTGGATTAGGGGTTATGGCATTATTATGGCATTATAAATTTACATGCTTCCTTCAGACACTTGCCTGAGGTGGGTACCTTGGTGTGAGTCTAGTTGTACAGGAGCTTCCCCCCACCCCCACCTCTTCACCAGAGTATTATTTCAGCTGTCAATGTTTTTGCCAGTGAGGTTGCAGTGCAGTCCTTTGTGGGGAAAGCTTCTACCCATCTGCTAAACTGGGTCAACCATGAACAGACAGAATTTCTTATTCTGACTTTGTGGGAGTGGTCCTATAAAGTCTATTTGAATGTGTTCCCATGGCCGGGGCTGATGGCTCATTTTAATTCCCTGTCCTGGTTCTGCCTCTGCACATGCAGTGCACCTCTTGCAAAATTTAGCAATGCCTCTTCCCATTCCCATTTTCTCACAGCTATCATTATCATTCCTGTTCTAGCATTGCTTTTGCTGCACTGTTTGCGTAGTAGTTCCCTCCCTGTTCTGGTGTCTGAATCTTTCTGTGTGCTTTTACTTTACTTACTGCTGCCTCCTTCATCTCAATAGCTGCGGTCACGAGGTCCTTGACTAAGGTCTCGTGCTGAATTACACTACCACTTGAGGTAACATAACTGCATCTTGCCCATGCCATCATGTAGTCATGGACTACACTGAAGGCATATCTACTGACTGTGTAGATGTTAAACCTTTGACCTCTCCCTAACTGTAGGGTGGCAGTAAGTGCTTTTAGTTCAGCTACCTGGGCAGAATGACATCCTTCTACCCTTCATCCTGCTAAAAAGCTCCCCTTTCAAATTTACCATGGCCCACCCTGTCTGGGCCTCACCATCATACTTCCATGCTCCGTTTACAAACATGGATTTCACATCTGGGCCCTCTAATGTTCTTCCTTAACTCAACCCTGTCTCTCTTCTTCCTGCTCCACGAGGGGAGAAACAAGGCCCCCTTGCTTGGGATTATTTCTCTTTCCTGATTCACATGACTTGCTGGGTTCTTTCTATTATCTTTAACCACTTCCATGTGCTTGTCTCCTGGCAATAGTGAGGATTCCCATTTGGATCCGTTTGCCAGCTTCCAGTAGCTGGACTATACTATATGAGGGAATGTAATATTACCTTCCCCAGTCGTATCAAGGGGGAGAATGTCATTAGTGCCCAGGTAGCACGTTTGATGGCGCGAACACACAAGTGTTGCCCCATCATGACTGGATCCATTTTACCTGAGTAGTATCCTACAGGCTGGGGCTTGTCTCTGTGTCTCCGTAACACTACTGCAGATTGATTGCCATTGCTTTCACTGCAAAAGAGATGAAAGGGCTTTTTCAGGTCAGGGAGTCCTAGTGCTGAAGCGGAGACCAGTGTCTGATCTTGACAAAGGCCATCTCCTGCTCAGGTCCCCATCCAGTCTTCGCTGAACTAGCCTGCCCCCTTTCATAAGGTCTTGAAGGGGTCTGGCTAGTTTGCTGCAATTTTCTACAAAGTTCCTGCAGTAATTAAATAGTTTCAAGACTTGTCTTACTCCTTTAATAGTAACTATTCTTTTCTTTCTGGTGGAATGCTATGGCTGCCTTGCATTACTATCTATTGCTACTGGCAACTAACTTGGGATTTCCCTAATTCTGTCTTGGTCCCTGTCCATGCCTACCTCCCCCAGAGGACCAACAGTCCTCTTTTTTGTGTCCTGGTTTTCCACAGTTCTCATATTTAATGATTTTATTGGGACAATTTTTGGCAAAATGTCCTCCCTTATTGCATGCAAAGCATACTCCTCCTTTAGGTGTTTCAGATAGGCTCTCTGTCTGTGTGTGTTCTCTGGAATAACTACTGCTAGTTTCTTATTAGTCCCTTGGTTATTTCCTGCCTCCATAGCCCAATTGTGTACTTTCTTAGTTTGTGTTTGTTTTCTTTCTAATCCTACAGTTCTCTATCCACAGATTACTTCACCCAGTACCAGTAAAACAACATCATACATGGACCCAAAATTTCAAAGAAGATATCCATCCAAAACACATCCATGTCAAGCAGAATGGGCTAATTAGTATTGATCTACTACACAATCAAAAAGGCGATGGGGTATAAACTCTTGCATGAAATTATGTCTTCTGTCGCTCCTCCACCTGCAAGAAAATAAATGTTACACTTTAAAGAAAAACCCACCTCCTCTGTTAAGTTTGCCTTTGCTAATTTGTCTATCAGCTTTTTCAGATTTTAGAAAATACCGTCAGAATTTTGTTCAAAAGAATCGCATTTCCAAGATCCCAAATTTCCCACTATTTGCATACTTTCACGCCATCATACATTTACAATGAGCAAATCTTATCATCCATAATTAAAGATTCACTAATGTGTTAAAACAGTATTTGGAAGTTCACTCTGGCCAGAAAATGAAATTCCAAACATGGTAATTTCTGAAATTAAGTTACCCAAGTCCAAACACAATACAGAGCCAATTCTAAAAGGTAATTTTTTAATCAAGCTTTACGAACCAACTTTTTACATCAACATTTTGTTGCAGACTTCTGCTTTGCACAACGATGTATAGTTCCTTAAACAGACATTACATTAACCACACATATCCCACATTTAAACAGGCACACCACACTTTTCAATCACCATAGATCCCCAAAATACAAACTAACTTCAAAGCATCCTCAGATCTTGAACTCCAGGAACAAAAACACACAAATTGCACAAGACGACATTGAGCAACCAACAAACAAAGGTGCATTCAAATCAGACCACAGAGATAAAACTTTTACAAATTTCTGTGCACTGGCAGAGAGTTGGTTTTTCTCTCTCTCATCCTCATTTATGACCTATTTTAGCTTGTTTCTGTGCCTTTTCTTTTAAACACTGTCTGCAGAATGGACCGGCCTGAACACCAGTGGGACCTTTTTTCCCTTTTCTGCCATTCTCCCAGACTACCTAGCGCCTGTGTCTGAGGTAATCCACTGCTTCTATCTATTGTTTTTTTCTGCCCGAGGATTTCCAACCTCCTATTGATCTTTTAGGCAGCTATCCCCTTTAGCTCCCGAGGATTTCCAACCTCTTAATTGATCTTTTGGGCAGCTATCACCTTTCGCACCCGAGAATTTCCGACCTCTCATTGATCTTTTCTCATGCGTCTTTTGTCCCCGAGGCACTTGCCTCGCTCTTTTTCACATGCTTTCTGTGCCCAAGGCACTTGCCTCATTCTTTTCCCTGTGTTTTTTTGCACCAGAAGCATTTGCCTCACGTTTTACCTAAACGTTTTTGTGCCAGGCACCCCCTACTACTACACCTGTAATTCTGTCGCTCCAGGTAAAAAGTTCGTTTTATGCTCTGGCTTACAGAAGCTCCCACACCAAGTGCCACACTAACTAAAAGGGTGATAAATAAACATATTCACCCAAACCGTAGCCCAAGGTCGTCTGGTTACAAGCAGAGCAGACTGCTTGCAGTGCCATCTGCGCGAGTGTTACCACCGTCCCCCACCCCACAACCGGGGAGAAAGCCTCAGGAGGCAGGCAGGATTCAGGCAAGTGGCAGACTATTCTTATTCAAGCAACAACCAGTTACAGTTACTGCAGTGACAGGATCAAAGATCTTCCCCAAATCTGGCCTTGAGAACCCAGTCGTTCTCTTAATCTACAGATCAGATTGGAAGACAGATCAATGACACACTCTGATTTTTACAGTGAAATACACCATTTTTATACATTTTGTGTTACAATAATCGCATACAGTGTGGTCACTGTGTCCTTCCCCTTTATTCCATACACCCAATCCTGTGAAACACCTCGTCAATGATGGGCATTCCTATGGACAGCCCCAGGTTCCCATGATCTCATGGTGCTTAACAGGCATTGTAATCTCCAGGCTTTAGGATTTTTCTATGCATCCTATGAATTTGCATTCCAAAGTTACTGATTATGCTTCTTCGGGTCTGTTCCAGACTTGCTTATGTCTAAGGACTGCTTGAATTCTGCCATTCATTGTATTCCATGTCCTATCTAACAAATTTTGTTATTTCACTTATTTTTTCCACTGTCCCAATTATAAATATAAAAATACAAACAACAGTTGGTTTTAACTAACTGCTATAAGATTCGTAGTATTAATTTCCCATTATAAAGTTAGTTGTACTTTTTAACTTATAAGTTGCAAACAACCTACTTTGCTCAGGATGTGCCAGGCATCTTTTTGGAGACAAGGAAAGCTTTTCCTGAGACTAGAACATAGAACATAGAACTATACAGCACAGGGACTGGCCCTTCAGCCCATGATGTTGTGCCAAACATGACGCCAAATGAAACTAATCCCTTCTGCCTGCAGAGATGGGGTGAACAATAGAAACTAGCTGGAAGGAGCCAAGAAATGGAATGTTTGAGTACTGACACCTGAGGAGGGTCAAGCTCTCATGGCAAATTGCTGCTGACATCTGTAGCCTCCTTCCTAGCCAATCTGGTGACTATGCACTGCCAACGACTAATAAGACATTTGTCATTGAAGACATGTGCATTTTTTAGCTGCCAACTCTCATTATTCCACTGTAACTCCCAGTGGCTAGAATTCCTGTTCCATGAATGCAGCTAGCAGGATGTGCCAGATCTCTTCAAAGAATTTACTTGCATGGGTAAGGTTTACTCATGTATGCCAGGAGGAGCAGGTAAAGATATTAAGATTTTAAGAGATATGGGAGCAAGTCAATCTTTGATGGTGAGAGATGCGGAGATATTCAGACTATTGCTAGAAAAAATGGTAATATGTGGAATTCATGGCAGAACAAGAAAAGTTCCATTATAGAAAGTGAGGTTGGAGAGTCCGGAGAAAAGTGGTGAAGTTGTGGTAGGAATGATAAAGAAATTCTTGGTTACAGAAATACACTTCATCCTTAGTAATAGATGGATCGCAGGTGGGAGTGATGCGTATTGTGGTGGTAAACCCAGTGGAAAACAAGGCAACTGAGGTGTTACAGGTAAATTCTGGGATTTTACCTGACTGTATGGTAACAAGGTCACAAATCCACAGGTGGAAACAGGAGAAGAAATCAAAGAATAAAGATAAGTAAGTTGAAGTTCAATTTATCAGACATTATGTTTGAGGAAAATACAAGAAGATAAAGTGAATATTTTTAGTTCAAAGAAATTAACTGAATTACAATGGAAAGGTGAAAAACTGAAGCAGTTGTATCAAAAAGTATACATAGAAGAAGAATCTGATTGTATCCCAGAATGTTACAATCTTAAAAATGACATCTTAGTGAGGAAATGGAGACCATCATATATTCAGGTGGATGAGAAATGGGCAGAAGTTCACCAATTTGTATTACTGGTGGCTTATAGAAAGGAGGTAGTACATGAATCACAAATAGGAGGTCATTTGGGAGTAAGGAAAATTCAAGTCGAAATACATAAACATTTTTTACTGGCCTGGATAACATAATGAGGTGTTCAAATTTGCCAGACATATCATATGTATCAAGTAATTGGAAGGCCTTAGACAGTGATAAAACCAGAACCCTTAAAATGCATTCCCGCATTTGAGGAACCTTTTAGAAGCCTTTTAATTGATTCTGTAGGACGCCTACCTAAAACAAAAAGTGGGAATCAATATTTGTTGACCATAATCGATGTGTCCACAAGATTTTCAGAGGCCATTCTATTACACAGTATTACAGCTAAAAGGATTGTATAAAAGTTACTCAAATATTTTACTAGATGATTGATTCATTGATTTATTGTCATATGTACTGACATACAATGAAAAGCTTTTTGTTTACAAGCAGTACAGGCAGATCATAGTAAGCAAAGGATGTACAGATCAAAAAGCCTGAAAGGCATACAGGTTACATTGCACAGGGCGTGTGCTAGGCGAGATCATCGTTAGCAAGATCAATCATTATTTGAGGCTAGAGAGTCCATTCATCAGTCTGACAACGACTGGGAAGAAGCTGGTTTTGAACCTGCTCGTGCATGTTTTCTATGTTCTGTCTGACGTAAGAGGTTGTAGGAGATCATTACTGCGGTGCGAAGGGTCTTTGATGATGTTGGCAGCCTTTCCACAGCAGCTAGCCATGTAAATGGAGTCCATGGATGGAAGGGTGGCTTCTGTGATAGTGTGGGCTGTGCACACCATCTTCTGTAGTTTCTTACAGTCATGGGCAGAGCAGTTGCCATTCCAGGTCATTATGTACCCGGACAGAATGCTTTCAATGGTGCATTTGTAAAGTTGGTGAGACACCTTATGAACATGTCAAATTTCCTGAGCCACCTGAGGAAGAAGAGATGTTGTTATGCCTTCTTGAGTGTCACATCT